GCTGCTACCATAGCATCTTATTGTGTCAGTCACGTTCTTGAGAAACACATGAAGTCTTTCAAAGACGGCAAAGTTGTGAAAGAAGCATTCCGGAGGCTGCCGACGCGCTTTTGGGGACAGTAAAAATAACAGTAGCATTTCAACAGGTTTTTGATATAATAAAAACGCAAGTTAGATACCGTTATTAATCAGCTGTAAGTTTTAGTTTGTTTGAACTTATTCATTATAATTATTGTACAAAATGGTATAAGAATGCAAACATTAAGATNCAGTCCATTTTCACCAGGCCCAACAACAAGAGCAAGGCTGCAGTGCTTATTGTAGAAAAATGGTAAAAGAATGCAAACATTAAGATCTGTTCTGTTTAAATTGATTATAGTCTATTATCAATTCAGGTTAAGAAACTAGTGTTGCTTGCATCCTATTTTAAAGGCATTTCTTTTTATACTCTAATAAAATGCAACAAAAAATGGGTTTGATTCTATTAATTTTGTCTTTTTATTGCACTTTGGCAGCAGATTCCTCTGTAGCTTCAGATCTGAGTTGTCTTATTAGTAAGCCTAATTTATACTTTTGTAGCAACACTATTTTTATATAATGGCAAAGAAAGGGTTCAGAGTCTTTTCTTTTTTTCCTGTCTCATATGTGGCAGCACTGCCACAAGCTCCTCTTCAGAGAGGGTCTTCAGTACAGGTGGCAATATTGTCACCTACCTGCGCTCATCTCTGAAACCAGACCATGTAAACAGGCTGGTGTTTCTTGCAAAAAATCGACATGAGCAGTCCTACCAGCATGGTGTGACCATGGTGGCCAAAACATTTTTATTTGGTCTTAAAAATTGTAGTTCAACATTTATTTCCTGTTACTTCTGGAACATGACGGTTGGCCAGCCTTCAACGTTTAACTGAGTGGAATATGTTGAATGTGTTTTACCAAAATGTTGGCTATGTTAAGGAGTTTTCAGTAGGTTGTGACGGTGCACTGCAACAGATTTGATGATTTCATTTATTTTAGTCTAATTTATTTTTATTTATCATATTAATATATGTTTAGTATGGTTTTGGAAGTGCGCTCCAACATATTTGTTGTTGTTTATTGGTAAAATATTATTTGTTTTAAAGTTCAATAAATGGTCAATGAATAATCATCAAAATAAATCATGATATCAATTATTGACCCAAGTAATTGTGATTATGATTTTTGCCATAATCGCACAGCCCTAGAATATAGCATTACTTCACTGCAGCTTTTAGAAATCAAAACTGAACAGCACTTAGATTATTAGGATATCCAAATATTGTAAGACAATATCTGTCTTCAGGTCACCATAATAATGTTAAACTGCATGGCCCTGGATCAGAACTCTTATCAGCGCAGTTTTCGAGCCAGCCTACCTGCCAGTTGTAGTACATGTGGCACAGCTTGTAGGTGAGCCGCTGCATGTGGTCAGGCTTCAGGCCGCTGCTGTCGTACACTACGTTGTAGTGGGTCGGGGCAACGCTGCCAAAGCGCACATGCTGGCTCACGATGTAGAAGTCATACCTGAAAAAAGGTTGCAACAGTTACCTCTTACTACCGAAAATGTTTAGAATAATGCAGGGACATCCAGAAACATACCACTCTGGACGGGTGATGACTGAGTCCACCACGGTGCCTGGGGGGGGGTTGGTGGCCTTCCCAGTGACAAGGCTGAACAGCCTGCAGCTGATGCGCTTCTTCACCACCACCACAGTAAGCTTGGGCCTATGACCAACAGAGGGAGAGGCCCCATCAGAAAACTGGCCATTTCTGGTATAATGAGCTCTGTTCAAGTCGTTAGGGTGCTTCCATTACCCCATTCAACCAATCAGGGATCCCTCTCTTTCTCAACACATCGTCAAACATTACTTACGCCAAGTATAAAATAAAGTCCTAAGATTCAAGCTTTGTGAATGCTTTGAGAGGGCTCTTAGAGATGAAATACTCACACGTAGTCTTCCCCCATGGACTTGATGCAGTCCAGGATCTGTGACACCTCGTAGTCGACCACGCTGTGCAGCTGGCCGTCTCCCACCCCGTCTCGGTACACAATGATGCGCGAAGGCAGACAGTTGTTGAACTTCATGTAGTCTTTCAGAGCACCTGGAAGACAAATAAAAACATTATAGCACCGAGGCCAAGATTGATAGAAAATTAAAGATATGACTTTAGTAGAATTATGAAAGTAAACTTACCACACAAGGCCATCTTGAGTCCGTCCATGATTTCCTGCCCCTTGTGCTGCAGCACACACTTTGAATACCACCTTGACAGAAAACAAAAACAGCACGCGACTTATTGGTTGTGTTATGGCACTAAATCAGAGGGAAAACATGTAAAGTAAGTAAAGAGGCTACGCCTCAGATTAGAATACACAGACAGCGCAATATAACCACCGGAAGGCCTCTGTTATAATATGCTTTATAGTTCAATCTAATTTAAATGTCGAGACAGTAATGTGCTTTCATAAGGATAAAAAGTCATGTTTGTTTCGCCATGCGTTAATGTATCAGAGCGGAGGCACTGGTTGTAATGTGTACATTAACGCTGAATTAACTTGAGAGTTTGGCATCATGATCGTGACAGAAGAACAATGTAGAAACTGTTGAGGGGTTTGTCCGTAGAAACGTACCTGCTCATGCTCTGGTTTAGGCTGGCCACCAGAGCTCCAATGGACCTCCTGCCGGCAGAGATGTCATGGTAGCAGTCGATGCCCACAATCATCAGCTGTTTGAGCTGCAGAGAGAAGGGCAAGTTAGCAGCACGCGTCATGTCCACGGTTTTTTCCAAACCACATTCATCAGTACCTTCGGTTTTCACCCAAACATTCATCTTTTCCCAGACTTGAAACTAATGAAAAGCAGTGAATCGTCTGAATCACCCAACGAGGTGTTCAAATGTTTTGGGTTTATTATAAAAATGTGGTGAGTAACTGCACAACGCAGTCCGAGTGATAAATGGTAAACAAATCAGTCATTCCGTTGCTTCTCTGTAGCGATCTGCCCATCAGACAGGCCGCCACACGCTTTTAAAACCCACCTCTTCTCCTCAGCAACGTATTAACATCTTTTAGAGTTGCTTTTAAATTGGTCATTGTTTTTACTTGTGCCGTGTTATTTTTTCTATGTTTTGTTTTGACTGTACAGCACTTTGGTCTGGAGGTTTAAAGTGCTTTATAAATAAAGCTGCATTATGTTTAGTGAAACAATTAGCTGTAGCAGTTCTACTCTCTAAAACAACTTTACTCACTCAAAAACTACTATCTCGCTTTCCTAAAACACGCGTTAAGCTTTAATGTCTTCGATGTACAGGTGAGTTCTTGTGCACACAACTTACAGGGATTTCCACGCTCCAGAGCTCTCCTCCAACCTTGCAAGCCATCTGCAGAGCAATTTTGGTAGCTATGGTCATGAGTGCCTGGGGTTTGCTGAGGGTCCGGGCCACCACACACTGGCTTGGGGTGGGGCAGTCCACACAGAGGTACTTCTTGATGGAGTCATACTTATCCTTCCTGTTGCTGGCGAGGACCACCACCACCTAATATAGAAAAACAGCATGTCTCATTTAGCTTTGAAGTTACATGCTATTGGGAAAAACTGGATTTAAAAAGACAGATTCTTTATTCCGCGACATTTAAACTGTTTTACCGCTAAGTACCTGTTTTAGATTGCCATCATCCATTTCTGTAGGTGAAATATATTTCCAAACAACTTGTGATTCAGCTCCTGATGATTTTATCTCCTGGCCCTCGTTCATTTTAAGGACGATCAGCCTGGCTTTGGTTGTTTGATCAAACTGATTAAAGAACAACGGATGAGTGGTCCCTGTGCATGTTTTCCTTTTGCAGCACAACAGATATAGCTTGAGGTGCCTAATTGAGATATTGTGCAACCCTCAACTAAAGTAATACTTGTGAAGGTGATACACCTCTGAGTTTAAGCATGATATATTCAGTCACTCACCATCTGTGTTTGGGGTGTCACGTTGTGCTGCAGGGCTCTGAGGAGAGACTCCAATTGGTCGTCATACTCGATCCTAAAGGAAAATAAAAGTTTGCAATAACTAAATGCAGTTCATTTTGATGGTCACTGGTCTATAAAGTTGCTGGTTTTTGTTGCAGTGTTTTTTTGCTGAAACTCACATGACGCCTTTCTGCATGCGGATCCCGAGGGGAGCGGAGACTTTGCCGAGGGTCTGCATAAGGGACATCGCTTCGTTGACGTTACGCCGGGTGTGAAACATGAACCACTTGTCAATCGGAGGAGAGCTGATGACAGGCATGCCACGCATCTCTTTGGCCCATTCAGCCATCATGGGGTTGTACTCATACTATGGGACAAAACTATTATTTTAACCCTTTTCCAGAACATATAAATGAATTCTTTGAATTTATTTAGATAAATGTATTAATGCCAACACAAGCATGGACTGTACCGATCTAGATCCCTGGAAAATCCTCTCCCCTGGGAGGACTCGGCCAGTCATTTTCAGGAGTTCCCTGTCAAAGCTGAGTCCCCACTTGTCCAACTCTGCCTGAGCGTCAGTGTTCCTATGGAAACATGTTTGGGGTTCAAATCAAAGGCTGGTATCATAATGCCTCAAGATGTGGAAAATGGCACTTTTGATGTGTACAGCCGCCTCACTCAAGTAAAAAGTGAGAGAGGGAGGGAGAGAGAGAAGAGAGAAAAGGGAGAAATATATTTGCGAATTGCATATGAACCTATGATATTAACTCAGGGCCGGCCCGTAGCACTGGCGTAATAGATGTTCGCCTAGGGCGCCAGATCTGGGGAGGCGCTGCGCTGGCAGCTCTGGGAGGGAAAAAAACATGTTTGACCGTTGGTACTCATCCTAATTTTCGGCCTTGATGTAACAACATTCATAATTAAGTAAATGTAACACCCTTTTCACCCCGGTTACACGTTTCATTTGCCCTGTACGATGGGCGCTGTAAGTGATGAAAATGGGGGATGTTGGTAGGCCTGTCACGATAATTAATTGTGTTGGACGATAAATTTTTCTGGAAATTATTGCGATAAACGATAATATTGTCGGCACCGTTTTAAGACCATTTTAGACATAATGATAATATATAATAATAATTCAAGTACATCCTTTCAAACATAACTTTTTATTGAACATTCAACATTGCAAATGAAATGTGAAATAATATTAAAATATATAAATTAATAAATAAAACAAATTAATTAAATTATAATTAATTAATTAAATCACACACAACCAAAACAATAAATTAAATAGAGTCAGGCTGGAAAAAAGAGCTCTCTCTTCATATAATATATATATATACTATATATATATAATATATATATATAATATATATATATATATATATAAATAAATAAATAAAATAAAATTAAAGAGCACACATTATCTCACAAGCAAAAAAAACCTCCTTAAAACAAGTCAAGTGTACAGTCCCACTGTCAAGAGCCCAGATGCCTCAACAGGCCATATCCAAATCTCTTTTTCTAAGTTTCAAGCAAGGACACCAACAGTTTGCACATGTTTGCCTTGTCGGGCGGGGGCTCTCCATCTCCAGCTGCCGTGTTTGCTCCCAGCTGGGGAAAACGGAAATGGGGTGGTTGTGTTTTAGGTGTAGTTTAAAATGCGTGGTATTGCCTGCTTTTTCCGCTACCTTTTTTAAACCATGCGACACACCGCCCGGCTCATTCAAGTTCCGTAGGTTCGCCTCGTTGATTTGTTTGAATCCAAAATACTTGCCACACCGGAGAGAATCGAGATGTGTCGTTAGATTTTGTAACCAATTCCATTTCACTTTTAAATTCCCGCGAGTAAGTCACACGTTGTCTTCCCGCTTGACGCTATATTATTAATTTGGCTGCTACGCTGTCTGCACGTGCACGCGGAGTGTCCTGACCTGGCTGTGTGTCAGCCCCGCCCCTCACAGCGCGCCTGGCAGCCACAGCGCTCCAGGCTAAAATGCTGGTCACATCTTTATGAATTGTAAACGGCCATTTATCGAGCTCAGAAAAGTTATCGAGTCCATTTTTATTTATCGTACGATAAGTCAATTTATCGATTATCGCGACAGGCCTAGATGTTGGCTTATCTGGCGCCCGCAGCTCACAGCCAAAATGCGAGTGAGCGAGGGAGGGTGCACCGGTACCGGCGCTGTTGTTATTAGAATCTGGTGCTAGCTGCTTTAACGGATATAAGAAGATGTTTCTACAATAATGTGGAGGCAGAGTCCTCTCCAGTCAGACTGAGAGGCTGATAACTACAGCTCAGTGAGGTAAGGACTCTTGAGTGTTTAGATAGTTCACTTTAGTCTAAGTTCAAATGGTTTGGTCACAATTTATGTAAACACATATTTCCAAAAATATCCTTTAAAATTGGAAAGATTAAAAAAAAAAAAAATGCATAAATAAATGTTAAGGTAAAATAAGATATGAATGAACAACTCTGTGTTCACCTCTGCACGTGTGTTCAGTGCCGTGTGTCCGGCAAATAAAGTCAAGACCCCCTCAAAAGTTACGGTTTATTTCATTTTAAGGATGAGCACCAAGCAACATCTCCAGGTGCTCCTTTGAGAACCAGGGCAAAAAAGTTATGTGCACCCCTGTTAATAGCCCTTTTTTATAGTTTAACGCAATACCTCCTGAAAGATGTCAAATGTGGAATGAAACGCTGCATCCAGTTCTCTTTATACATTAATTGGGCTTGCATCGTTGTGGCCACAAGAGCACAAATTTCACCTACATATGCAAACTGGAGACAAATCTGTTGAGGCGCGACTCTCTCTGTTGTGGTTCCAATTTGGTGTGTTTGTCCAAGTCCTTCATGATGGTGTAGTCAGCTCGCATCTTGTCAGTCAAGCCTGTCAAACAAAATGAGTTTATTATCAAGTAAGGACAAATGTCACCAAATGGTTAGGCTTTACAATGGATCCAGAAAGACTAACTGCTGTCACCAATAACCGCACAAGGACTTCGGAGTGCATCTTCACTTTTTTGCTGTATTCTTGTGATCAGAAAAGTAATTAATCCTGTTAAAACTGACAAATGGTGTAACAAGTGACCCGTTTCAGTAATAATCTCCTCATGAATAAAAACATTTGATACCATGGCTATAGCAGTGGCCCACTGGAGAATAAGATGGTAACCTGTAAGGAAGCAGAGCTCTGGGATGAGCATGGCCGGGCCAGGAGGAGGGCCTTGAGCGGGCCCCATCTTCTTCACATTGCTAATCAGCAGCACCTGGTTGTTATCACGGATGTCCAGGCTGTATTGCTGGGAGAACAAAGTTTGAATATCAGTGCAGACTAGAATAAGGTTGACATTTAGGCTCATAAGTTACTGGCGGGGCTTTAAATAACATAACAGAAAGCAGTAAATGTTCATGTCTTTAATACAACATTTATTAAATTGTGTGTGTGGGAAGTGCATGTGTTGAGGCAGAAAGCTACATCAATGACAGTTACAGTTGCTCTAATCTTTGTGTCGAGTGCATGAAACTTACAGACTTGTAGTAGTCCTTGAAGGAGACTTCTTTGTTTGCCTTTGTGAAAGTGTTCATAGGAGTGTGATCCCATGCGATATCATCGATCCTGTAGGTCTTGTTGTTGTACCTATTTAAAAAAAAAAAGGTATCAAGAGAATACTGATAAATACATAGTGGATAATCCCTTCCAAACACAGTATTATAAATATGCATATTAATCCATGAAAATAAGTGGCAAATTAGGATCTTACTTGGTGAGGACTATGAGACCAATCAGCTCCTTGCCGCAGATCTCAGAGAATCGCTGATCTCCAGTCTTCTGCCTCAGGTTGACCATGAAGTCCAGCACCGTCTCACTACGCAGGACCTTGTGGCTCACGTCAGTGCACAGCATTATGGCAGACTCGTACTGCAGGATGGTTGTGGTGTAGCCTGGCCAGATGGTGAGCCTAGGACAGACATACAGGCTTAATGTGTTTCTGCCTAAAGCTATTGAAAGAAAAGTAAGCCTCAACATCTGAAGATTGCACATCAACTAAACCCTGCTATGGCTTCTTACTGGGCTTAAGTATTCTATGGAGTTTGTTTTTTAAAAGCAGATAAATCAGTTTTCCTATTATATTGCGTACACATGCACTTGCCATTTTGTTCTTTAAAAGAGGCGAAAGCTTATTTGAGAGTTATATACCTGTGCTGTGGGATGTTGAGTGGATCCTTGGGGTTGTAGTAGTTGCGTCCAATCTGCTGCATGTCAAGCATTCTCAGGATCCTGAAGATATTATAAAACATTTTTAAAAAACAAACATTTGGAGTTTCCAATAAGGAAATGGTGAAATGTTTTGTTATCCAAGCCTTTAGTTTTGGAGGTAATGATTAAGTAAGTTAATTCAAGTATTGGCGCATGGTACATTTCATTTGGCTGATGCAATACAAATGTATGTTCCAACTGTGCTTACCTTCTGAATATTATGTTGTAAAACTGAATGCACACCGGTGACGTCGGTGGCAGTTCATTTGTCAGAGTGACAGTGATCTGTACCTTTTCTCCCATCCTTGTCTCACTTTGGAGCAAAGTCTCCTAAACACAAAGCAAAAAGGTGTAAAAAAAATTAGATAGGTTGAGAACAGAAAAAGTAATCGTTTAAAGGTCGCATGTCATGGCCATTTCTCCTGTCCATAATTCCATTGTTGAGGTATACTAGTATAGGTATATAGCTGCGCCGCATCCCGCTGTCTCAGGGAGGAGAAATCGGCAGAGCTGCAGCTGAGAAAAGATTGAGTGTGTGAGAGGAAGTCCGCCTTAACGTAACGGCTCCGCGGACGTAGCGGCTCCACGGATTGGTCCATTTGGGTATGGGCACGTCACTGTACCCAGGAAAAAAAGAGAAATCTCCAACGAGGCGTTCTGGGGCAGCATAGACAGGTATTTTCTGTGTTAAGAGTTTTACTCTCTACAGGGTGTACTTTGAGGGTTTTTGATTCTGCAGACCGTTTACATGCATAAAACCTTCATTACACACAAGGGGATGGGTAATAACCAGAAAAGCAAGACATGGGACCTTTAAACACTGACAATAGATTTGAAAAGGTCAACATAATAATATCATGATATGGCAATGACATAAGCTTTCCAAATAACAGCACTGGGCCCTGATGATGGCAATCTCTATTAATTGGTCAGATTATATTCCGTTCTTGTGTGGCGCAAACCATTTCGGGGACATGACTGAGGACCGAAACAATTACAAAAACATTGATTACCATCCAACAGTGAAAGTAAACAAAGATAAAACGGGGTTCTTACACCTTTTCCAAAGTCAAATTCAAGCACTTTTCAAGGTGCATTTTCAAGGTGCATTTTCAAGCATCTTACAGCTGTTGTAAATGACATTTATATACACGTACTTATACTCAAATGATTATTTCCCTACCTCACATTAAATCAGATGTTCTTTATGCTATAAACAACCAAATGTGTGTTTCGTGATAGCATTCTCCATGAGGATGAAAAATTAAAGAAAAGAAAACCAAGTTTAATATTTCAAAATGAGTGACCCATCTGTACGTAGACTGGGCATCCCATATAACCTGGCGGAGCCGATATACAACAATCAGCCAAATAACTTTTCAATAAATTATTGATTACTATTTTTTAGGTACTTTTAGGTTGGCAGTAAACACAAGTCAGAGGTAAATTGTGTACTTTTCCTCCACTATATGTATTTAATACCTTCAGTTACTTTACAGATGTGGATGAATGATGTGAAATATAATTAAGTGTTAAATCAGACTTTAGTTCCACTTGGAGTAAATCGCTACCCTGCAGTATACAAAGTCATTAAAACTAGCTGCACCTTTACCAGCTTTGATAACACTTTCATGATTAACCATATCATATATATTATTCTGAAATGGACCAATCTGCACAATGACTACTTTTACTGTCGCTACTTTCACTATATTTTGATGAGAATACTTTTCTACTTTCTCTTGAGGAACATTTTGAATGCAGGACTTTTACTGTAACAGAGTATTCCTACACTCTGGTACTTCTACTTTTACTCAAGTACAAGATCTGAGTACTTATAATTTCGCTACAAGATCTGAGTACTTGTACATTTACTCAAGTACAATATCTGAGTACTTATTCCACCTCTGGAAGTGTATTAGCCTGAATTGTAGCCACAAAATCACGCAGAGCTGCATAAAAATAGACTCACAATGGCAACAAGTGGAAAATAATATTTACAAATGTGTACAATGATTTGTAGGTAATTTTGACTACTCAAGAGTCAAGACACCTGACTTATACATAGGGCTGGGCGATATATCGAATTTACACGATACATCGTGGATTGCACTACATGCGATGTCGTAAATGACCACATCGTGAACATTGAGTATTACGTTTTCAAATCATTTTTCCCGCCGCAGCGAAAGTGAGCTTTCNATATAAAAGACAGTTTGTTTTCATCTGTTTTCAAATAAACAAAGTATTGGCTTTCAGAATATTAAACTTGTTTCGGCAAATTCAGATGATAAATACAACTTCGAAGCTTGTGACGGAATAATTACAAGCAGAGAACGGACTAATGTAACATCACAGCAAGCATAACAACAGCCGGTGTTTCTTGTAAGTGTTTCCCCGGTACACAAACGCAAAAATACACAAACACACTCGCGAGCTTCCCCCAGACCTGGGGTTACGTACTGTAACCCAGCTTCTATGAGTATAGGCGCAGCCCTCTAAGGCTATCGCTATTGGGTAATC